TGAGAGAGGGTGGGGGGGCTGGGAGCCCAGACACCTGGGGTCCCTGGGAGGTTGGGGGCTGAGGGGTGAGAGCAGGGAGGGGTGGGAGCCTGGTTCTCTGGGGGGAGTACTGACACCCCCCCGCCCCCTCAGGAGGGGTGTCTTCATCCGGACCAGGATCATCTCCGGCACCTCCGGCACGTCCTGGCTGAGACAGAGCAGCGGAGCTGGGCCCAGCACCTGGAGGTCAGCCCCTTTGCCCCCCTAGCATCCCACTGATTTGTAGCAGCCCCTTTCCTAGTTTTTTCCCAGCACCCATTGCTCTTCATTTACTTCCCCCTCCCACCCCCTTTGCTTTCACATGGAGGGGGTGGCAGCTTTCCCACAAATCTTGGATGCTTCCTGACTGCCTGAGCAGGAGTGGGGGCGGGGGGTGTTGTGCATTTTAGGGACCCAGTAGTTTTGACCCCCCTCTCCCCACAGGACCAAGCCCGCCTGCAGGCCGAGCACCAGGGGGTGGAGGAGCTGCGCCAGCGGCTGCAGGAGGCCCAGACGCGCCTGGAGCAGGAACCCGAGAGCCTGCGAGAGCGCGGGGAGAGCCAGGTCCGGGAGGTACGGCCCAGCTGGGGAGCATAAACCAGGCTGGGGCAGCTCTGTATGGGCCATGTCTGCAGGGTGTCTGTCAGGTCTGGGGGATATGAAGTGGGCTTAGGACAGCTCTATGTGGACCGGGGCTGGGATATATGGACTGAGGCCATCCTGTATGGACCGGAACGGGTATATGGACCAGTGTGGGGCAGATCTATATGGACTGGAGCTGGTGTGTATAGACTTGCGTTCAGAGCTATAGACCAAGCTGTGGCACCTTTGTATGGACTAGAGAAGGGTTATATGGATCGCGAGCTAGTCTCGTATGGACCAGGTCTGGGATACATAGGCCAGGCTAAGGCAGCTTTGTATGGACTGGGGAAGGGTTATATGGACCAGACTAGGGCAGCTCTGTATGAACTGGAGCTGGGGTGTATGGACCAGGGAAGGGTTATATGGACTGGGTCTAGGGTATATGAACAAGGCTGGAGCAGCTCTGTATGGATCAGAACCAGGGTGTATAGACCAGGGTTTGGGGCTATGGACCAGGATGGGGCAGTTTTGTATGGACTGGGGCTGGGGTAATCCTATATAGACTGGGGCCCGGGTATATGGACCAGGCTAGAGCACCTCTATATGGACTAGAGTTGGGGTGCATAGACCAGGGTTTGAGGGTATAGACCAGACTGGGACAGCTCCATATAGACCAGAGAAGGGTTGTATGGACCTGGGGTTGGAGCAGCCCTGTATGGACCAGGGATAGGGGGTATGGGCAAGACGGGCAGTTCCACATAGACAAGGGATGGGCTATACGGCCTGTTCTGGGGCCCAGGGCAGCTCTGTATGAGCCAGAGCAGGCTTATATGGACCAGGCTGACCCCTGCCCTTCCCCCTCCCCAGGCCTCGGAGCTTCTGGAGGCGGCGCTGAAGCGCTTTGAGGACCTGGAGTTCCAGCAGCTGGAGCGTGAGACCGGGCGCGGGGGGGAGCGGGAGGCAGCCAGTGCGGCCTTGGCCTGCGAGATCGCCCGGCTCCAGCGCACGGTGAGCTGGGCCCAGCCCCGTCTTCCCTCTCCCAAGCTGGGACCTGGAGGCTCAGTCCAGGGACCAAGGGGATCCAGCTCCAGGGTTTCCCCCCCCTCTCCTGGGCCAAGGATCCAGGACTCTGGTCTGGGGGGCCGCTGGGATCCAGCTCCAGTCTTCCCCTGAGACCCAGGGACTCCGGTCCAGGGGCTATTGTGATCCAGTCCTAGGTCTTCCCTGGGCCCCAGGGCAAGGACCTAGCCTCTCAGCTCTGGTCCAGTGCCTCTTCGGGGGCTCCAGCTCCGGGTTTTCCCCATGACCCCATTCCAGAGGGGCTGCGATCCAGCCCTGGGTTTTCTCCGTCTCCCAGAGCCCATTCCCAGGGGTCCAGCTCCAGGGGGAGGCTGGGAGCAGGGGCTAGCTCCAGTCCAGTGCCTGGAGGACTCCAGCTCTGGGTTTTCCCCACCTGGGGGCACCTGTACCTCATCCCTCTCCCTCTCCCTTCAGAGGACAATGCAGCAGCAGGAGCAGAAGGAAAAGCCTGAGGGACGCAGGATGGTGAGGAGCCCCTGGCCAGCAGAAGAAAACCCAGGCATCTGGGACTCCTGCTGTCACCCCCTAGCTCTCAAATGGGGAGAGAACCCGGGTGTCGGGGGTCCCCCTTCTTCTACCCCCCAGCCCTGAAACAGGGAGGGAACCCAGGCATCCGGGACACCCCCTGCTCTCACCCCCTAGCCTCCAAACGGGGAGAGACCCCAGGTGTCTGGGCCCCCTTGACTCCCCCTCTGCTTTGCCCTAGGAGAAGACCCGGCTGCTGCCCCCAGGGGATTCCCCCAGGATTGGGACTGGGGACCCCTCCGGCGACACCACCCAGGAGCTCACCAAGGTAATGTCTGCCCAGGTGCCTGGGTCCTCTGTTTGCTGCAGCTGGGGGGCAGGGTTTGGCAGTATCTGGGGCAAGGGTGGGCAAAATGCAGCCTGTGGGCCGCATGCAGCCCCTCAGGCCATTGTATCCAGCCCACGGGGCCCCTAAAAAATTTAGAAAATTAATATTTATCCGCCCCTGGCTGCCTGCCATGCGGCCCTTGATGGCTTGCCAAAACTCAGTAAGCGGCCCTCCGCCTGAAATAATTGCCTGACCGTGGGGTGTTGGGTGTTTAGACACCCTGGGGTGTTGGGTATTTGGACACCCAGCACCGGTGGTAGGGTGGGGACAGAGATGCCTGGGTTCCCTTCCCACTCAGTCGTAGGTTTACTGGCTTAGATTTGCCCAGACACCTGGGTTCTTTGCCCCTGGTATGGGGTGGGGGGCAGGGGCCCGGATGCCTGGGTTCTCTTCTTTCCCCCGGTAAGGAAATGAGGGCTAACGGGTGGGGGATAGAGCCAGGAGGGGCTGAGTGCCCATGCACCTGGGCTCCTTCCCTCCTCCCGGAAGGAAATATTTCCCTGCTCCGGGAAGGAAATAAGTGGTGGGGTAGAGGCGAGAGCCCGGACACCTGGGTCCTCTGCCCTCTCCCGGGCGCTCATGTGTGCCCATGTCTCCACAGCTCATGTTCACGCAGCGCACAGACCGGCGTCTCATCGTGCTCGGTGCGGGGCCCCTGTTCGCCGTCCGCAGCTCCGTCCAGGTCCGTCAGGGGAGGGGATCTAGTCCAGGGGTGGGGCTTATCCTGGGGCGGAGCTAGCACCCCCCACCCCCATGGGGGCTTGGCTTTCCTGTCTGAGGGTGGGGCTTAACTCCGGTGGGTGGGGCTTAGCTACACCTCACCTTCTAACCCCCTCCCTCTTCCTCCCCACCCCCAGGGCTCCATTGGACTCCAGAGGTCCGGGAGCCTCCCCCGTCGCCGTGGAGACCGGCCATCCCCCCGTGTCGCCCAGCGCCCCCTTTCTCTCCATGGCAATGGTATTTGGGCAGGGGATTGGACACCCCATTTCCCTGTGGGAGGCAGGTAATTTTGTAACCCCTTCATCTTGTATTTTTTCTTGCCCCCTTCCTTCCCCCCAGAAGTGTTGAACCCAGGTGTCCAGGTCTTGCAAAGCGAGGGAGGGGCTGATGACAGGGGCGGCCCGAGGACTGACTTGGCCCCTTACAGGTGAGATCTGCCCCTCCCTCTCCCCCGTTC